GACAGTGGGGTGTTGAAGTCTCCCATTATTACTGTATGGGAGTCTAAGTCTCTTTGTAAGTCTCTAAGGACTTGCTTTATGAATCTGGGTGCTCCAGTATTGGGTGCAGATATATTTAGGATAGTTAGCTCTTCCTGATGAATTGTAATGGCCTTCTTTGTCTCTTTTGATCTTCGATGGTTTAAAGTCTGTTTTATCACAGACTAGGATTGCAACCCCTGCTTTTTTTGTTGTTGTTGTTTTCCATTTGCTTGGTAGATCTTCCTGCATCCCTTTATGTTGAGCCTATTTGTGTCTCTGCATGTGTGATGGGTCTCCTGAATACAGCAAACTGATGGGTCTTGACTCTTTATCCAATTTGCCAGTCTGTGTCTTTTAATTGGAACATTTAGTCCATTTACATTTAAGATTAATATTGTTATGTGTGAACTTGATCCTGTCATTATGATATTAGCTGGTTATTTTGCTCGCTAGTTGATGCAGTTTCTTCCTAGCATTGATGGACTTTACATTTTGACATGTTTTTGCAATGGCTGGTACCTGTTGTTCCTTTCCATGTTTAGTGCTTCCTTCAGGATCTCTTGTAGGGCAGGCCTGGGGGTGACAGAATCTCTAAGCATTTGCTTGTCTGTAAAGGATTTTAGTTCTCCTTCACTTATGAAATTTAGTTTGGCTGGATAGGAAATTCTGGGTTGAAAATTCTTTTCTTTAGAAATGCTGAATGTTGGTCCCTACTCTCTTCTGGGTTGGAGAGTTTCTGCCGAGAGATCTGCTGTTAGTCTGATGGGCTTCCCTTTGTGTGTAACCTGACCTTTCTCTCTGGCTGCCTTTAACATTTATTCCTTCATTTCAACTTTGGTGAATCTGACAATTAAGTGTCTTAGAATTGCTCTTCTCAAGGAGTATCTTTGTGGCATTCTCTGTATTTCCTGAATTCGAATGTTGGCCTGCCTTACTAGGTTGGGGAAGTTCTCCTGGATGATATCCTGAAGAGTGTTTTCCAACTTGGTTCCATTTTCCCCGTCACTTTCAGGCACACCAATCAGATGTAGATTTAGTCTTTTTACATAGCCCCATATTTCTTGGAGGCTTTGTTCATTTCTTTTTACTCTACACTTCTCTTCTCACTTCATTTCATTCATTTGATCTTCAATCGCTGATACTCTTTCTTCCAGATGATCAAATCAGTTACTGAAGCTTGTGCATTTGTCACAGTTCTCGTGTTATGGATTTCATCTCTATCAGTTCTTTTAAGGACTTCTCTACATTGGATATTCTAGTTAGCCATTTGTAAAATCTTTTTTCAAGGTTTTTAGTTTCTTTGCAATGGTTATGTAGTTCCTCATTTAGCTCTGAGAAGTTTGATCGACTGAAGCCTTCTTCTCTCAACTCATCAAAGTCATTCTCTGTCCATCTTTGTTCCGTTGCTGGCGATGAGCTGCGTTCCTTTGGAGGGGGAGATGCGCTCTGATTTTTTGAAATTCCCGCTTTTCTGCACGGCTTTTCCCCCTATCTTTGTGGTTTTATCTGCCTTTGGTCTTTGATGATGGTGACACACTGATGGGGTTTTGGTGTGGGCGTCCTTTCTGTTTGTTAGTTTTCCTTCTAACAGTCAGGACCCTCAGCTGTAGGTCTCTTGGAGTTTGCTTGGGGTCCACTCCAGACCCTGTTTGCCTGGGTATCAGCAGCGGAGGTTGCAGAACATAGAATATTGCTGAACAGCGAGTGTTGCTGTCTGATTCTTGCTCTGGAAGCTTCATCTCAGGGATGTAGCCTACCGTGTGAGGTGTGACGTGTTGGTCTGCACCTAGTGGGGAATGTCTCCCAGTTAGGCTACTCTGGGATCAGGGACCCACTTGAGCAGGCTGTCTGTCTGTTCTCAGATCTAAACCTCCATGCTGGGAGAGCCACTGCTCTCTTCAAAGCTATCAGACAGGGGCATTTACCTCTGCCAAGGCTTCTGCTGCTTTTTGTTTAGCTATGACCTGTCCCCAGAGGAGGAGTCTACAGAAGCAGGCCGGCCTCCTTGAGCTGTGGTGGACTCCACCCAATTCGAGCTTCCTAGTGGCTTTGTTTACCTACTTAAGCCTCACCAATGGCGGGTGCCCCTCCCCAAGCCTCGCTGCCATCTTGCAGTTAGATCTGACTGCTGTGCTAGCAACGAGGGAGGTTCCGTAGGAGTGGGACCCTCTGGGCCAGGTGTGGGATATAATCTCCTAGTGTGCCGTTTGCTAAGACCCTTGGTAAAGCGCAGTATTAGGGTGGGAGTCACCCGATTTTCCAGGTGTTTTGTGTCTCAATTTCCTTTGGCTAGGAAAAGGAATTCACTTCCCCTTTGCACTTCCCAGGTGAGGTGATGCCTTGCCCTGCTTCAGCTGTTGCTGGTCAGGCTGCACCCGCAGACCAGAACCAACTGTCCGACACGACCCAGTGAGATGAACCCAGTACCTCAGTTGAAAATGTAGAATCACCCGTATTCTGTGTCACTCAAGCTGGGAGCTAGAGTCTCGAGCTGTTCCTATTCAGCCATCATGTGCGTGCCTCCATATACATTTTAAAAGCACCCCGTCTATGACATTGTGTATGGATGTGAACATATATACTAAAAATACAAAAATGTGGATGGGAAGTATACCAGGGAAAGGTCTAGCAAGGAGAAAAGAAACTGTGCTAAGATTTTTAAATATTGGATGTTTGATTCAAATAATTGGTTATAATAGGTGATCAGTTACATATGATGGAATAGCTGGGCTATGGAAAGGAGATGAGACAACTCGGTTTAGCAGCAGCAGGAAAAGATCCTCGCTCCTAAGGAAGAAGGACAAAGAAAGGGTGCTGCTCCCTCAACCCAGAAGCTTTGTCTGGTAGGAGATAGAATCAAGGTGGAGGTTGCCTGGAAAAAGCTGGGCCCACAGAGGAATGTGCTTTCTATTGGAGATGCCACTCAAGGTCAAGAGACAGGGACAGAGGGAGAGAGAAATGCGTGGCTCTTCCCTTCTCCAGCCCTTCAAGCTCCTAACAGTACCTCTCACTGAGGAAACCCAGAGGAAGTTATAACATAGCAAGGAAGCCTGGGAATGTAGGTGTACCCCTCAACCCCAATCAGAGGGTGAGGGGACTCACCAATTTAGGATATGCATTTGCCTCTGGAGAGGTAGTCAGGGGAATGTGCACAAAGTGGTCCTTGACTATATTGGTAACCCCTAATTTCTTTAATTTTTTTAAAAGGTTTGGAGACAATATGGCAAAATGTTAGCATTTGTTTTTTGTTTTGAGACAGAGTCTCTCTCTGTCACCCAGGCTGGATTGCAGTGGTGCAAGTCGGGTTCAGTGCAATCTCCACCTCTCTGGTTCAAGCGACCCTCCCACATCAGCCTCTCTAGTAGCTGGGACTAAGGTACACACCACTACACCCGGTTAACACTTGTTAATATTATAATGTGGGCGACCAGAGGCTCATTACTTTATTTTCTGTACATTTCTATATAGTTGGAATATTTCATAAGAAGCAATTATTATAGGACAAACAGAAATGTTCCAGATTAATGGCAACAGTAAGCATCTTTATTGTATTTCCACCCTACTTCCCAAGGAAATGTCACATCTCTCTCCGTGAACAGTAGCATCCTTGTGGAGTTTGCAGGCTGTGCCATTGACTCTTTGGCATGATGGTGTATCGAAGACAAGGTGGGAGAACAAGACAGGGAATGAGTGGAGATAGGCAAGGAGGAAAGGTGGCAGGAAAAGACTCAGGAGGAAGAGGATGACCATCGATCGCTGTGAGCTCTCCCAGAGCCTGCCTGCCTTTAAACTTGGTTCAGTCACTTATTACCTGGGGGTCTTGAACAAGTTCCTCCTCTCTCCCTCCTAAGATGTTAATAGTACCTACCTCAGTGGGGTTATTTTGAGGATTCAGTAACTTCACCCACAGGAAAACACTTCACATTGTGTGGGAACATAGTCCACTCTCAATCCATGTTGGTTACGATCCTTATTTTTTTATTATTAATCTTTACATCCTCAGTGTTGGCAGAGTTCTTGTGCTTAACAAACATTTGTTCAGATCAGATAAGTGGAAAAAATTGTCATTTGCTTATTCAAGCCACGTTTTTCTGTGATATTCTGATCCTAGTTGAATATACAGAAATAAATGTCTAAAACAGCACCTCGATTCTGGTCTACAACAGGATGAAGTTCACTGTGATCTCAGATAAGCGTGGCTAAAATAGGACTTGATGGAGATAGTCACACTTCAGCGAAGAAAGACAATCCCCTGTGTAATGTCACCAGGAGATTCAACCTCAATATTCTGCATCGAAGGGATAGTCCTCCAAATGAGAGGATCTGTAGAAACAAAAAAACAGAGAATCTGTGTTCCATGAAAGCAACAGCTCTGGTTCAGAAGGTATTCTTCTCTGGTGGACTCTATGGTATTTGTGCTCTCTCAGCCACCTCCCTGCAAGAACACAAGAAGGGTGCTCACACCTTGACCTTCCCTCAATTCAATATGAGGGCTTTGATAGGAAGGAGGACAGACAGTGACCAGGGCATGGGAAACAACTCGAAATGACAACTCATGGTAAGCCTGGTGTCAGGTGAGGCAACTGACAAGTCTTGTCCCAATCCACTGTCACAACATCATGAGGTAGGAAACAACAGCACAATTGACAGCTTGGGGATTGTTATGAGTATTAAATGAGATAATAGCACCGGCAAAGGGCTCAGGACCCTGGCACATTCTAAGTTAAGGTTCAATGGATGTTAGCCGAGATAAGTATTATCATCCTACTTTACAGGTAAAGAAGCCAACTTGGAAAAACTAGGAAATTTATCCAATGTCACACAGCTAAGAAACCAGTGTTAGAGTTGGATTTCAGGCCAGGTGGACTTACTCCTGAGCCCACCAACCCATTGCCTCCACTGGAAATGATGTTCATTGGAAGGTAAGTCGTTTAGTTTGGGGGAAAGTCCCATTTTATGTTCACCCTTCCTTTTTATACTAAGCAGCTGCTACTTTGTTAAGCACTGATAAAAGTAAGCCCTTTTAAGATGAGGAAAGGCTGCTGTGATACTAAGGGTGGGCAGAATAGATATGGAATATCATGACATGAAAGCTATGCTTGAGATACTGAAACCATTTTTAAAAGCTGAAAAATCATTTTGGCTATAGGAACATTGGAAGAAATTCAAATTGTCATCGAATTGCAGACCTCACAGTAATAAATGCCGGACAACTCTCTTTGATATATTTAATTAGATCCATTAATCAGTAAGTATTGATTGTAAAGAGATGATTTAGGATTCCCACCTAGCCAGAGTGAAAACTTTCTTTCAACCACTTATCTACGATTTAAAGTAAAGTTACCACCA